AAAAGTAGTAGCAAATTAGTTTTTATTTGACTGCAAATGCATAGATAACTTTTTACACAAACATTAACTACTTTGGAATATAGATTGATGTAACGTTTTCTAAAATAAAATTGTATGTTAAGGTTTTTTCCCTTTTAAAATTTCAACATAATATAAAGAAGAATTATATGAAAACATATCTTTTAATTGTATAAGAAAAAGTAAATAGATTTTAAAAAATCCATGTAAATATGTATCTATTAGTACAACAAATATGAAGATTTTAAAAAAATGTGGGGAATTAAACTTTTGACCTCAAGAAAATGAGTAGGTACTTGGCTTATTTTGGTAATCCCAAATATTTTAAGAATTTATTATATATGATGTACTTGTCATTATTAATCTACTCGCTTTAATCCTAGACAACGAGTGAGTTAAAAACTGCTTTTCTTAGGTAACATAAGTGTGACTTAATGATTAATTAAGAGTAAGACATCTACTCTCTTTTGAAGTTTGAATAAAGAAACAAAAATTTCAAAACATTTTTAAAGTTTTGATAGAAACAAAAAACTTTTTTTTGTTGGATTTGTAAGGTGATTGCAAACAAAGTCTCACGTTGGTTAAAGAAGGAAATGATCATGGGTATATAAGACAGGATCATTATCTCCATTGGTATGAGACTTTTTGCATGAAACAAAAAACAAAGTCAAACGAAAATATCATACCATGGTGGGAGATACTTGGGGTACTGTTGTCTTTGAATTTTTTTTTTTTTTAAAAGATCGAAATTCTACGTTTTGATTTTATAAATTAACCTAAGAAATAGTACAAATAAATATAGATTTTATTTTATAAAAACAAAGACATGAAACCAAATGAGCAATCGTTTTCGACCACTAGTGGGGGGCAGTACGTGGGCGTGTGTGTTGGAAAAACAAGAAATAAAAGATACCATAATTTTGTTTTGTTTTCCATTCATTTCTTTTCTGTCGATGTTGGGTTCTAAAAAATAAAATAAATAAATGCTGTCTGCCTTTTATCCACCTTTTTTGGCCAAACTCCTTTGTCT